TTAACTTAATCATTACGTTAAAAATTACATGCATGGATCATGTTGAGAATGGTTACAGTGGTGGTGGTACAGATGACAGCGAAAGGAATATATCTTGCCAAATGTTCAAGTTTGTCTTCCTTGACCTTTCTCATTTTCATGACTATCTAATAGAGATGTCGAAACGAAAATTGAGAGGTGGACTATTATCATTCATAGAAAAGAGCATTCTATTTCTTTAGTTTTGGAGATATTGTTCATGCTTGACTTACATCCACACGTTAGTACTCTGTCTCCCTGGCAGATACACACTTGACCATTAAAGTCACATGCTGCAATACAAATATAATAGACAAAAAAATGATTGAAACAATAATAAATCAATGAATCAAATCAAATCAAACAAAACTTGGTTGGTAACTAAATTTATCAGGAGATATCATTGGCGAAGATGAGAAGTGATAACAAGTATCTTTCTAAAAGTGTTAAATCGTAATAAATATGGAAATGTTGTTAATTGGGTAAAAAAAAAAAACCGAAGTTTGAATTGATACATTTTTTGATAAATTTGGGACAAATTACCGCGTACAAGTCTTATTTAAGAAACAGATTAAACAATTTACAACATTTATAACAAAAGGCTGATCGTTGAATTCATATCATCATTAGGTCTTATCTGAAACATTCAGGAATTCAACAATTCAATGTCAAAGAAGTGAATAAAATAATTGATATGTTGTAATTCCAAGCAAATATTCCATTGTTTACCTTTGATAAATATTGTTTGTGTTTTGTATATGTTTGTAAATATGTATAACATTTAAATATAGTTAACAACAACAAAATCCTCATGGAAGAGGCATAGAGAATTTTTTTGTCATGCTGGCACAAGCCTACGGCTATTGAAATTTATTTTCTAGATTGATTGTTTTGTAATTGTATTCGTTTAGTTGGGTGACAACTTTAAAAATGAATCGCTTACAAACTATTGGTTGGTTCTTTCTTCTTTTGTCGCCGTTCTCCTCGACATCCAAGGCATCGGAATTGTCGATCGCATCTTCCTCGACTAAAACACTTGCTGCCAAAGCCAAGACAATCAGAAAGTAGAGAGCAATCATGGTTTTTGACGCCATTTTCAAAGTCTAAGGAAAATAGAATCAACATGGAATACATTTTTATCATTTGATCAAAGCTACGGTGAAATTGCAAAACAATTAAGAATATCAGCATTGAATAGTGACGTACTGAAAATTTCCTTTTACCACTCATCAAGAATAAAGAGAAAGCCGAAATGGGACAATATAATGTTATAACGAAAGGAACAAATTGCGCTATAAAATAATGACGGGTTTCGAGACGATTGACTGCCAGAAAATAGTGGAATTGCGGTTTGCTCTGACGAATGCAAGGCGGAAGGCTTCAGAATGTCTACATTCAATCACATTCTTCGACTTCTTTAATGTCCTGTTTAATGCCCTGTTGAAAGACGATGTTCCCGGCCCACTTCTGCATGCACTGCTGTCATTTCATACACTTAACGGCTTTACCCCACCCTCCTTGAGAATACGATGACAAAAAGTCAATGCATAGTTTCATTTTTACAGAATAGAGGTAGGGGAATGTAATGTCTTTAAATTGCTATTATGGCGGGGGAAATAGCAAGAAAATGAATTCAATGGATGATCTGACAGCAGTACTTGACACACCTTCTTGTAACATTATTTATACTAACTTCCCCTTTAAAAGTGTTGGGCACAATGTTAGACATAGGAGGTTAAAAAAGGACCATATAATTATGTTTGTTGGATAAGACTTAAAACCAATGTTTAACCAACTTTAGGTATATTTTACCCCACAAACATGCAATAATAATAATGGCTCATACCCAAGCTTGAGTTTGAAAACAATTAGTATTTTGAAAGCAATTAAACATTTAGGAAAGTAGGTGTAAGTCAGTGTGATTAATGAGGATTAATGCCTTACCAAAGGACACTACCACCCTTCAGTATTACGAACCTGGGACCTCCCGATTACGAGATCACTGGGCCATCGCACCCCTCAGAATTGCCAAAGCATAGCTCCTGATGAATTTGTACTAAAAGCCCGTTTCACAAGAGTCGAAGAAATGTCCGAATAAATGTAGAACTACGCTCAACAATTGAATATACATTACTTATTCCCAAATCCAGACTCTCAACTACCGAAAAATGTTTTACAACGGATGCTTCGAAAACGCAGAACAATATCCCCCTTTCCATTAGAGTAATAACCTGTCTGGCCACTTTCAAAATATCCATTAAAACGTACTTCTACCTTCAGTTATAAAGTATGATTTACCTACTTATCATTTTTAAGTTTCTCTTCACATACTGTTACCTTGTAAGCGATGAGGTACTTTTTGTTTCAGCGCTACTAAATAATCGATATCATTATCAATACAATTACAAACAGACGCAGTCAGAAAGACGTTTCATGTGCAAGAGGTATAACGTTATAATGGCTGTTGGGCCTACCTGATTTTGATGCAGTGTCCGAGTATGATTCGTTGAAATGATGATATGCTTTCTCGTAGCTTGATGTGACGAATTGTCTCTATCCAGCTTTCTGTTGAAGTACTGTCTAGATAGTTTCTAGTTTTATAGAATATCGAAGCCTGTCATGACCATCTGCTCGTTACCGACAAGTCACCGCATTCATGTAAAATTGAACAAATCAATTAACGTCATAGAATTGATTCAAGAATCATCTACCTGCTTTATTTACTTTCTGGTCTGTGTATTAACCACAGCTAGATTTCGTATCGTTTGATAGATTGAGTAGATACCACAACCTGCCGGTCTTTACCGACAAGTCACCGCATTCATGTCAAATTAAACAAATCAATTAACGTCATAGAATTGATTCAAGAATCATCTATCTTCTTTATTTACTTTCTGGTCTGTGTATTAACTACAGCTAGATTTCGTATCGTTTGATAGATTGAGTAGATACCACAACCTGCCGGTCTTTACCGACAAGTCACCGCATTCATTTAAAATGAACGAATCAAACAACGTCAAATAATTGATTTATCATCGCACTACCGTATAATGAATCTTTCAACATTTTGACATACCTGCATTCGTATCCATCACGAATGAAAATTTAGTAGGTATTTTAAATGTTCGTTTTGAATAATTTCCTCTCCACGTCTTTCCCCTGTTTGATACTGATAAAATGTTTAATTTGTCTTAATCAAGGCAAAAAAATGCGAGAATATTTTAACAGAGACATATCGTGTACAACTATGAATTACATCCTTTTCAAATGATTCAATTCGTTGCCAATATTCAGAATCTAAACATGATGAATCCACTCAATACAGCAACGCTGTTAACCGCATCCATCGCTCCAACCACAGCCCATATTGATCAAATATGGAAAGTTACCAAATGAAATCTGAATAAAAATCAAATATACCATGCACTGAGAGGCTTCAGTTAAAATATAATAGACAAAAAAATGATTGAAACAATAATAAATCAATGAATCAAATCAAATCAAACAGCCACTCTTATGGTTTAAAGATTATTTAACAAACAGAAGACAATATGTTACATTTAATAGTTATGATTCTGATCCTCTTTTAATTCAATGCGGTGTTCCTCAAGGCTCCATATTAGGTCCACTGTTATTTCTTCTTTATGTAAATGATATTATCAATACATCCCCCTTCTTTCTTTTATCTTATTTGCCGATGATACAAATATCTTTTATTCCCATAAAGACCTTAATTCGTTAAACAATACTTTGAATTATGAAATTAACAAAGTATCAGATTGGTTTAAATCCAATAAACTTTCACTTAATACAAAAAAGACTCATTTCATGTATTTTAAACATCATTCTCATAATACAGAAACACCTATATATATTAAAATCGATGGTATGCTACTAGAGAAGAAAACTAATTCCAAGTTTTTGGGTGTTCTTATAGATGAAACCTTGACTTGGAATGATCATTTACACCAAGTTACAATGTGCATTTCCAAAAGTATTGGAATAATCTCCAAGTTAAAGTTTCTTCTACCCCATGCAACCTTATTCCTACTATATAATTCGCTAGTTCTCCCGTATATAACATATTGTAATAGTGTATGGGCAAATTGTGGTTCGACAAAAATCAATTCTATTTTCAAACTGCAAAAGAAAGCCATACGTATTTGTACAGGTTCGCATTTCTTAGCTCACACTGATCCTTTATTCTATAAACTTAAAACACTAAAAATTTTCGATCTGAACACTACTCAAGTAGCAGTTATTATGTTTAAGTACATTAATAATCTGCTTCCACCATCCTTTGATAACATGTTTAGGTTTAATAATTCCGTTCATTCATACTCTACTCGCATATCTGGAAACTTCCATCTTACAAACCCCAAATTATCAATAACACACAAATCTGTTAGACATTCTGGCCCGGACATTTGGAATGATTTACCCGACAACATAAAGTCTTGTTCAACCATCTACTCCTTAAAAGCTACACTTAAACGACAAATAATACAATCATATGCTCCCCCTCTCTAAATTAGTATAACAAAACCGTGACTTATTTATTCTTTATCATGCAACTGCTCACTGCACCTGCACTTGCACCGCACCCTCTTGGTCACTCAGTTTTTCGAAGAGAGTTATGTCGCCAATTCTTTTTACGAGGCCGCCATCCATCTCCAGCCTAACCGCTCACGATGGTGGTCTCCTGCGTTCCAAATTACCTCTCTAATTTATTGAAAATATTTCATATTTCTTATGTTATTGTATGCTTCGTACATGTTTATCGAATGATATAATTGAACATGATTTTTCATTTAATTACTTTTGTAAACATTGTATTCATTGTATTTGTTATTGTTCGAAATTTTGTACTTTGAATTTGAATTTGTATATTTTTGAACGCAGAAATAAAATCAATCAAACAAATCAAACAAACTATAATAACATTACAAAAAATGACAGCATTAAGATTTAGAAGAAGTATTCATGCTTTAAAACTTCAGTCTATCCAGCTATGCCAAGAACTTCATATCTCATGGCCTGGTGCCCATGCCACGTGAGTGGGTGTATTCTGACGTATCGAGCAGTGATTGGTCGAGGGAATAGTATAGTCTCGGGAGTGTATTCATTGTAGTTTGCTGCGTAGACCTGAAAATCACGAGGAGAAAGTCAACATTTTAAGGTCATTGCATGAATTTTCCGGTTCAATTATGTCTCACAGCATAAGCTGAATTGCGAATGCGTACTCACAAACTAAAATAATTTTTGAAAAAAGTACATGTATTACTATCAAATAGACATGATAGAATTGGGGAAAAACGATGTCTACTAAAAATATGTAAGCTGGGAATGAGTATAGATATGATTACATAAAAAACACGTTCAACGGCATGGGGGCACAATTTCTCCATGAGGATGGACGACCTCTCTCGCTAGAATATTAACTTTATAGGGATCCGGTAATTTTTTCTCAGATTCTGAAACAAAATCCTGGATTTAGCTCATGCTGCAATGAAAATTATAAACCCTTAGGTCAGTCAAGAACCACATGACTTTTACAAGCCGATCGCCTGTCTGATTATCAAGATATTTATGATTCGAAATCGAAACCAAATTTTGCGTTTTCCTAATGGTTTTCATAACACTACAGTCTATTCCGAAAAACCAGTGTGGTAATACCGGTCACTCAAAGTTTTTTACTTCTTTGAGGCACTTGTTGATCATCTTGAAGCGCAATTTTTCTTAGGTCTTCAATATTAAACCATATCACAAACACGGATAACACGTAGGGCCATGCATCTCAGATTTAACATACGGTTTCCGAAGTTGTGTCTGACTGAAATAGTAACTTACTTTTTGTTCACCACATTGTGGTTCCAAAGCATAAGTCCATGTCACGTCATCCAGCGAATAGGACACCTTTACAGACGTAACCCATTGTGTCAGGTTGTATCTGCCTTGTACGATAAGACCAGTGACGGTAGAGGTCTTTCCAAGATCTATCTGACTCGTCAGTCCATTAATAGGAGTAAGAATTATCAACCAGTAACTAATAAATAAACTGATAATGAATATATATATATAAGGAAATAAATTTGACAAATACAAACAAATAATACCTAAAGTCCTTTGGAAGCGCATAGAGACGTTGATATGCGAATTACTACAACGACATATTATAAATTGATATTATTATTATAATACACAATTTTGAATAACGAAACATCGAGAATAATGGTGCTTAAATTAGCTCTATCAAAGTTTCTTACTGCTGCCCTCCCTTTTTGATTGGGTTAGAACGCCATGCCATAACTACTAGACCGCGGAGACGGGTCAGTAGTTTGGCGAAACAAGATCAGTTGACTGACCGTTTGAAAAAAAGAAGTATATCTTTGTCGGCGGGAGGGGACAGGTGAGTTTTTAATAACGACAAGCCCTGTGCCTCAGTTGAATCCTAGCTTTGAGCATATATATATATATATATATATATAAATATATATACTTAGATTTGGTCTATTCCTCCGTACAGTGCTCAATGCTCAGTTGCCTGATGATCGCTCACAAGGCGTGAAACTCGGAGTTGCAACCATGTTCCATTGGTCTGCCTTATCCAATATATATATATATATATATATATATATATGTGTGTGTGTGTGTGTGTGTGTGTGTGTGTCTATCTGCCTGTCTTTGGTCAATGCACTGTTTTATTCCTCACCCAGTAAGTTGGCGCAAGTGAAATCTGGCAGTCTTGTAAAGATTGTCTGATGTTCAGTCATGCATGCAGACATTCAAATGAAAATTGTACCTAAATGTACTGGGAGGATAACTCTATCAAGACATATCATTAAATCCCTAATTAAATATTCATACTTCAAACAATACAATTTTTAAAAAGTGGGACATTCTTTCTGACTCTCCCTGTAGTACTCTTGTATTTAAATGTACGTGTGTGGACACTAAAAATTAAAATACAAGTTCCTAAACACAACGCCTTTAAATTGTCAAGGAAGATAAAACACAGTAAAATGAGAGACTTGTACCAGAAAGTAACAGAGACAAAACGATACCAAGGAAGGAGACTAGACGAAGACTTTACAAAACAATAAATGTGAACAAGAAGTGATAGAAGAAGAAAGACAGTAACGAATTAAAAGGGGGTCTGTATAGAGTACAAAAGTACATCTGTATAGGTCAATAAATAGGGTGGAACAGAGAAAGATCGGTGACAGGCTGTTAGATAAATAAACCAGATTTATTTTCATATTCTAAGATAAAGACAATTTCTTTTATAAGTAAAATCAACTTGGGTACAGAACTAGTCTTCGACTGGCTCTCTTTCTCTTGCTCTCACACCCCCCCCCCCCCCCCCCCCAACTGCTTTCCTCTCTATCTCTTGCTCACACCCCACTTCTTTCCCTCTAGACAACAAAGAATTTGGAAAGATGCAAGAATATAAAAGACAAAAAAGATTGTAAACAATGACACTATTCATATCGTTTACACTTTTATTAATTCTTGAGTCCCTGTACACGCATGCATACTCCATATGCGGAATATATCAATTACAAGTATCACTTTGATGTTACTACACGTTCATTCTTGTACAGCATGATTTTTAAAAAATTAACATTTTAAAACTCTTTTGAATTTAATTCACTATGTGGTGATACATTTTGCGGAACAACTAACACAGGTTCAATTAATGAGAAAAAAAAAACATACGGTACACAAAAACAAAATCATGAACATGTTGAATGTCGCCATTCTTCTTTATCTCCATATAAATCCCAATAAAGACATTTATAATCCTTAGTATTTGATTACAACTACATCCACACATGATTATAGATTTCAAAAATGCAGCATTTGATGCCAGATAAAAATGACAAAATTCAACCTCTTATTGAACAAATCCATATTAAATGATATTTCTGAACTCAATCTTTAATAAAATATATAATAATGATAATTGAAAACTGAGAAAAAAATAATATTCATCAATATTCATCAAAACTTATTAATATACATCACACACCATTTATCCATCAGTACTGTACATTTATATAAACAGTGTATTCTTTATCTTTGAGATATAAAAACTGGAAAATTGCCTTTCCAGACACATTCAGCAAATACTCAAAATATCTATTATAATAAAATCAGACTCTTTACTGCACACAATGGATGAGTTGATAAACAAGTATTTTCAGCATTTCATCTACATTATTGCTGAAATTTGACCCAAATCGCATGTTATTCCATGAGTCACACGCAAATAAGGCTGGAATGATAAGATGGTGAAAGACTTGTGAGCTAGCAAGCTAATCAAGGTAGTTAGGTGACTACTCAAGAATCTGAATGGTGTCATTTTATTTCATGATTGCAATCTCTCCAGTATCCTAGCAAGTTAATAATAATAATAATAGGCATTAGTATAGCGCCGTCTATCTAGACAATGCTATTCCGAGGCGCATTAATCAAGGCAGTTAGGTGACTACTCGAGAATCTGAATGGTGTCATTTTATTTCATGATTGCAATCTTTCCAGTCTCCTAGCAAGTTAATCAAGGCAGTTACAGCCTTTTCACACACAGCTAAAATTCTATAAAAATGATTAGTATAAACGTGTTTCGAACGTGTTTAAACTAATAACGAGCCTTTCACACACATAAATCTCGTTGCGATCGTTAATAGATTATTAACTACTGCTCGTAAAATGCGCAGTAGTGCCATTGCGCATTGAAGGTCATGTCATGTCAATCAAAGCGCACGCTCCATCCAGTTTAAACACGTTTAAACACGAATTTCCTTTCACACACAAAATGGCAAGCTCTCTAGATACGAACTTCGTATCTGCAGCCTGCTTTTAGGGGCGTATGGATCGCGATTTCGTATATATCCCAACATCGTATAAACGATGTTCACACTGGGAAATTTTGTCTATAAACATGTTTAAAACTGTTGAGTGATTCTAATCATCTCTAGATACGATGAATTTTAGCTGTGTGTGAAAGGCTGAATGATGACTACTCCAGAATCTGAATGGTGTCATTTTATTTCACGATTGCAATCTCTCCAATCTCCCAATAAATACATTCTTCGGTAGAAGTTTGCATAACCTACCTTATATCTTTTACAACAACATTTTTTGTTAAAGAAGTCATATTTCAAAAGTTGATCATTGTCTCTGAATAGTTCATTGTTATGAAATTTATTTCCAGCAAAACAATTGTTACTTTTACTGACCACTAACCCCCCCCCCCAAAAAAAAAAAAATAAATAAATAAAATAAAAAATATCCTGAGTATATACTGAAATTCACCAGTGGAACTATCTGAGTGACAGATCCGTGACTGCAACATCTACACCACAACATTCAGGAAGGCCATTGGCAGATTCTACTAAACACCACAGCGCCCTCTCTTATCCGAGCCTTCACATAAAATTATGTCAATATTTATCTCTACATCAAATACTTGTAACTTGTGGATTACCTGATGATCATTATAGTCGCATAGAAAATAGTAATAGGCTGCAACCTTCACATCATCTTAAAAAATGTCATACCTACATGTACTCAAGAACACGACTATGACATCCTATAATACTAGCTGACTTTGGGCAAATCTTGATTTAACTTCTATCAAATAGTGATGTTGAATTCGCTGTTTGACAACTGTCCATATAAATATAGTAAATATTCATTTTGCATATCAACTGTCTACTTATACTGACAGGTACTAAATTTGCAATTTAACAATTATTTTACTAAATCAAAGCAAGAAATCTATTAATGTTATATCAAATATGTAGAGCTTCAGGTGTGTCACAATTGTAAGGAAGAGAAGTTCTGGAGATTCAGAGATTATCCAGTATAAGAACTTAATGTTTGCAAACAAGAAATTGCATAAATATCTGAATGGATTTCACAATAACAAAAATTGTAGTACTGTACTGTACAGTAGTACTTAATTTGTAGTACTGCTTAAGACATTAACTGGAAAGTTGTTGTTATCTTGACAAAACAATTTTAAAATCTGGATTTGTATGCTTTCTTGGCAGTCTTAGACTTTAACCTCTAATATAGAATATATAAAGTATAAATGATGTAGACTGTTAAGTATCATATAAATTTCATGTAAAAAAAAAAAATCGTTTTATATCCCCTCTGTCATACATAACAATTCTGAATACCAAATTCTCTGAAAATTCTACAAAGAAAATGTATTAGGTCCAAAACATAAACTTGCAATAACAGAACCGAACTCATTAAGTACGACTTGTATGTAATAAATGTTAAATATATATGTACTTTGTACGGTTCAAAGTGGAGGTCTTTGATAGTAGTGTTTGTACAATTAGTATTGTTGATTAAATATAGTGATAAAGATATGGACTTAAAGTCAGCTAAAACAATACCATGTTTTGGCAAAAAGGAAACTGAGCGAATAAGAGGACAAGTACTTATAACCAATTCATTAAGCAACTAGGATGGATTTAGAAGAGTACTCGATATAACAAATATTAATTGAAATTTAAATTCAATATTCCATATCTTCCAGGAAATGCATAGAATGATACATGCCCATGTAGGCAAGAAATCAGTAAATATTTGCAAAAATAACTTGATAATGGTGCATGATGTTTTGAAATGAAATAAATATGAAATGTTTATTCCTAAGCCAAAAGATGGCACTCAGAGCTTTAACATATAGTCCCTTTCGGGCACATTCAAAACCAATATTCCAGGAGTTAAAATTATTGAATGTGTATCAACTACAAAAACTATCTATTTGTGTTTTTATGCATCAATTATTGAATAATAGATTGTCACAGTCCCTTATTTAGTACTGCTCTTTCGTAGAGCACAGATATGAGACAAGACAAAGAGAAAATAAAAGGCTAAGTTTCCCTTAAGTAAGGACAACGCAAGGTTCATTTTCTGTGTCATACAGAGGCGTATGATTCTGGAATGATTTACCTTTATCTATGAAACTTCAGTTTCTTG